TGTGCTTCAAGGAACACCTCCTGATCATCCCAAGGACGTCCAGAGTATCGGTATTGGTACATGGAAACACGTGGGAGATGTTGACATGGACGCTGATCTGTACCAGTCACCGACACAGGTATCTCAATTGCTGCGCACTAACTTATTTTGGTTGAGGTTACTTTGACGTTGTTCTAATGATAACATCTTTTCAGGTCAAGATTCTACATGATTTATCAGATACCGACACTGACCCAGATATCGTATCCCAGTCACAAGCGTCCGAGGAAACACAATCACAAGGCCAGACACATGTGGATGACAGCGACTGTAACAACCGAATATATATATATATATGTATATATATATATATTTAAATTATTATTTTTATTTAGTTGTTTTCTATATTTTCTCCAAAAATATATAGATATATATATATAAATTTTTATTTTAAAAATTATTTTTAAAAAATAATTTGTTCTTAGAATTTGAAAAAAATAAAAAGAAAGAGTTTTATTAAATCTTTATCTTTTTATTATCCTTTTTAAATAAGGATTCATTAAGGTTTGTTATAAAAGCCCTTAAACCCTAGGTTTTATTTTCTTAAACTGTTAGACCTAGTTTTCTCTTCAAGAGAAAAAGAAAAGGAAAGAAGAATAATTTTGGTATTTTCTCTCAAAGATCGGTAAGTTTTTTTCTTACTCTTTGTTTTAGTTTATTTTTCTTGATTTGTAGTTCTTTAATTCAGTTTATTGGGAAAAGTTTTGAGATCTTTGTTTTTTAGAATAAAAGATTTTAAGGACTTTTGCCTTAAAAATTTTCCAGAATTTTTAGTTTGAATCTTTTTGTTTATGAGATTGTTTTTGGGCCATTTTGAGACTCTTTTTGCATAAAAAGTTTACCTATTTGTATCCTATAAATTATAGTTTGTTGTTATGATTTTTACATGAAAAATTATATGTTTTTACCAAATTTTAAAGGTTTTATATACGATTTTCAGATCTGATTTTTATATAGAAATTAGTAAATTGTTAATTGTTTTATGGAAAATTCTTGGAAGTTTTATTTTATAAAATAGAAAATTTTTCAGATTTAAAATCCCCAAATTTTAAATTGTTTAGAAGGCTTTTAAGCTGGTTTTATTGAGAAATTTTTTGTAAATTTAGTTCGTATTGATTTATATCGATTCTTCTAATTTTAAAATTTGTTATTGTTGAATTTAGAGGCTTTTTAACCTAGTTTTCAGATCTGGTTTTGTAGCTTCAAATCCATACTTTCCTAATTATTTTGCATAAAAAAGTGTTTTGAATGGGAAAATTGGGTAGATAAGATTTGAGTTAGTAATCGGTTGAATTTTAAATCCTTGGATAGGATTTAAGAATTGATTTTAGATATTGGTTGTTTCTAGGCCTCTAAGTTGACAACTACTAAGGAAGAAGTAAATTAGATTCGTAGGATTTCTGAAAGAGGTAAGTAATTTGTCATATCCCTTCGAAAAAGTATTGTAAGTGATTTACCGTATCCCTTCGAAAAGTGTTGTAAGTGATTTGTCATATCTTTTCCAAAACTAAAATGTATTTTGGATTTGATACGACGATTTGAAATTGATATCTTGCATATGAAATTCAAGTTTTATTATGGATTTGAAAACTAATTTGGCAATTGAAATTATGTTTATTTGCAAAGTATTTGAAGTATTGTTAAATGATTTGATAAAGTTTTGTTTAGATTTATTTAATGGTTTGAAATTGATATTTTGTTTATTTGTGAAATATTTGAAATCATGTTTTAGATGATTGATAAAGTTTGTTTTAAATTAGTTCAATATTTTGAATTAATTTAATATTAAAAGTAAGTATTTGTTTTGCATTTTATTTGAAAGATATTTGGATTGATTTGATACGGCTATCTGGATATGCCATAATTTTGTTTTGAGGAATGTTTTGCTTATTTGGGGTAGTAGCCTAATTTGGAATTAATGGATTTCTGTTCTGGCTTATTTGTGGGAAGACACTTTTGTAGTTTGGCATTCCTTGGGAATGAAGATTCATGTGTGTGTTATTCACTCACATGGCCTCACACTTAAGTAACTCTGTTCTGGTCGATATTACTTCGACAACTCTGTTCTGATTGATATTATTTCGACAACTCTGTTCTGGTCGATATTAATTCGACAACTCTGATAGAAGCTTCTAATTGATTGGTGTTACCGACGGGTAACCACATATGTTCTGTAGGCTACCCAAATAATGCAACATTCCACTCTGATTTTGAAAGTATGAATCAATGTAAGATTGTTTTGAATGTTTGAATGATTTAGTTATTCAAAAGTTTGAAAGTTGTACTAAGTGTTTTAGAATGAACTTTGAAAGTTTTGATTGAAAGAAAGTTTGTTTTGAAGGATTTGAAGTTTGATCGAATGAAAGTTTGTTTTGAATGAATGAAAACTTGTTTGGAAAGAATGAAAGTTTGTTTTGATTGACTAGAAATTTTATCTTATTTGAAGACTTTTGTTTCTGAAAATTTAGTTTATTTTGAAAGTTTTGAAAATTGTATTAAACATTTTAAAGGACTTTAATAGTTTTGATTTGTTCATATTTTTGTTTACGAATGTTTTGAAAGGAAAATGAATTTCGAAATTCGATATGGAAATTGCTTATTGAGTATTTTTGTACTCAATTTTTTTCTGTTTTCTAAATGTTTTTAGATGAAGGTTCAAGTGACTTCTCAGATAGTGATTGAGGAATAGCGTTCTGGCACGAGGAGTTGAAATCTTTAGTATTTTCCATTGTTATTAGCTTATGAGAACTTAGTTAGTTCTGGTAGTTATTCTTTGGCTTTATTATAGTGTAGGTTTTTTTTTTGTTTCAAAGTTGGACTTGTCCTTATCTTGTCATAGTATCGTATTAAATAAAAAAGTCTTTCCGTTAATTTAGTGTTTAGTTGTTTACGCTTCCGCATTTTGTCAGAATGACCGTATTGGAGAATACGGGTTGTTACAGCGACGTACGTGTGTTATCTCAGCCAGTCACGCGTCCACCCCTTCGTCGTGGAGAACGAGAAAAGAAAAAGCCACAGAGATTTTGAGGGTCGTACAAAGTTAAAGTGGGCGGGAAGCAAAAAAAGGTGATCGTGTACAATCCACTCCCAGATCTCCCAGCCGTAGAGGAGGTCAAATTCAAAAAGTGGATTGAAGACTACAAATCAAATCGTTCGTCCCGAAGGACACCATATGCGTACAGAAAGAAGCAATGGTTTCGTGACTTACTTAGGCCGAACAACTGGTGTACGAATGAGGTACATAGGCTTAGAATGGTGGAGGCTGGGAATTCCTAATTGTTTTGTGTCTATTACTTTTAATATGACGGTGATACTTGCAGGTCGTTGATTCACTAGTCATGTTCGTGCGGAAGAAGCTAGAAGAACGTCCTGACTTATGTTCTTGCCAGTTCACCACTAGAGACACTGTGTTGTCGGTACGTCCCATGTAATTGTCTGTTACTCCATTTTTTGTTCTCTATTTCTTATCCATGCCTAACAACATCCATATTAAATGTACATAACTTTTTCCGTCGAACTGATGGTCTATATGAGCTGGTGAAATCAAAGAATGCCACTCCAGCACAGGTGGCGAAGGAGTATGACTAGGATGCGCGGGAGAGTACCGTCATGGCATACATTGACGAAAGTCATTCGGACTACCCGCTCAAGTGGCGTGAGGTGGAGGCTGTCTATTTACCCTTCAATGTCAACGGCAACCATTGGGTTATGATATGCATAGACTTCGTTGAAGGTGAGATCGTTGTCTGGGACTCCCTGAGGGCAATTACCTCATATGCATCATTGGAGGAGCAACTGAAAGTCATGCACACAGTCATCCCGTCGTTATTGCATAAATCTCAGGTCATCGCGGTACGTCCAAACCTACCAATGACACCGTGGCGAATTCGTAGGGTTACGTCGACACCGGAACAATTTAGTAGTGGAGACTGCGGCATTTTTTGTGTTAAGTATTTTGAATATGATGTAACATGGACTTCTTTAGAAACATTGAGGCAAAACAATATGTCATACTTTAGGAGGCAATTTGCCTTCCAGCTATGGTCTAATAAGGCAGTTTGGTGATGGATTGTACAAAATATTTTTCAACATATTAATCATTTTAATCTCTACTTTCATAGCTCATTGAATTTTAAGGTTGGGGTCCAGTATAACTCAGCCAAGAATTATGGAATCAACAAAAAATGTGCCAACCTCGGGTTCGACCTCGCCCGAGATCGCGCCCGAGAAATTTGACAGAACCTTAAAAAGATCCAACCCCGGGCTTTACCTAGCCCGAGATATGACTGGGAATTTTGATAGAACCTGCAAATGAGCTTACCTAGGGCTTCACCTCGGCCGAGAATGAACAGAGAATTTTGACAGAACATGACAGAACCTGAAAAGAATTATTCTTGACTTAGTCTACTTCCTGTGCAAACCGAAATGAACCTACAAAATACATCATTTTAACGTCGGCAAAACCATAATGTAGTAGTATTTATATAGCACACATAGTTCCGACTATAATAACAACCATATCATTCTGTTCGGAGCGGTTGCCTACACGTTTTGTGGTTGTGTCCAACGTTTCCACATCGCCCGCATTTGTGTACCTATCGGACTTCCCCGGCTGATGGTATTCTGGTAGTTTGGCGACGTCCAACATGAGGAACAAATTTTGGTGGCTTAATCGTCTTTGGCACGTAGTCATCCGGTAAAATCCAATCTTCTTCATCTCCGAGCGGGTACACGGGTTCGGAGTAACCAAGTATGAGGGTTTCAATTTGGTACCTATCAGAACATAATGAATGCACGCTAATGTTTCGAAAAACCGCCCCAGCAATGGCATGAGAGCATGGAATCTCAAAATAGTCAAATTGTTTACACGTGCAGGTCTTGCTATTCAGGTTCACACTTACCTTGGATGTACCATCATGCACTTTGAATTCGAACCGATCAATTGGCCTAACATGATGATATCAAGCTCGTTCTTCATCTTTTTTAAGAATATTCTCTACATATTCAGTAAGAATTATTCCTCGACTAGAGGCAGCCGTCCGCCTCTCATAAAACCATTGTTGTAGTAGAGCTCGACAATTTTCAAATAGAGCTGTTATTGGTAAAGCACGAGCATGAACAAGTACCACATTCATGGACTCAGCGAGATTCGAGGTCATTTGGTTATACCTTATTCCAGGTTGATATGCACGAGCCCACTTGTCGAATCCGATGTCTTCCAAATATTTCTGGACTTTTGGGAATCCGGCTAGTTGGCCCCAATAGTATCGAAACTTTGATACCTTGAACGTCTTTGCTGCTTTAGAGAAAGTTATTTGCATTCCCTCGTTTCTAAACTTCTCATTCAATTTCATCGCTAAATGATGCATACATGTGACGTACGCTGCATCAGGAAACACTGTTGCCACGGAGTTCGTGATGCTTTGATGCCGGTCAGATACAAAAACCAAACCATTTATGTCACCTATACAAATCTTAACCCGCTCGATAAACCAAGTCCATGAATCATCAGACTCCTTATCGACAACACTGAATGCAAGAGGATAAATTTGGTTGTTGCCATCTATTGAGGATGCAGTAAGTAGTACGCCCCTGTACTTCCCCTTCAAATGTGCTCCGTCAACCACAAGTATAGGTCGTATGCAACTTCCAAAACCCCTAATCGAGCATCCTATGGCCGTGAATGCGTACTTGAAGAATGTGTCATCCTCCAATTTCATGTGGAAAATTGTTCCTTCATTCACGGCCTTCAGAGCCTCTCCACACTTAGAAAGAGTAGAGTACGCTCTCTAGGCGATCCCATCAATAGGCCCAGTGCGACTTCTTTCACTCACCATGCCTTTTCATATCAGACATTGACACCGTAATTCTTCCGCATATCATTCACAATATCTTTAGGCCTGTAATGACGGCTGACCTCCTCATAGTTGGACTTTATCAACTGACCCACCACCCAACTACCAGCTTGTCGATGATCATGTGTCAGTGTCGGTCGTTCGCAACTATGATTCTCAGAAAATGTTGAGATGAGAAAGGTATCCGAACCTTTGATTCTTCTTGCACGTAGGGCCCATTTGTACCCAGTTTCAGTGCATACAACAGATAATAGCTTTGTGGTAGATTTATTAACCTTGTACTCAAAATTCTTGGTGATAGCAAAAACAGCCAGTTTAAATCGTAATTCATCCTTAGACCGAAAAACACTTCCAACTGCAATGTCGTGAACAGAACCATCCTCATTACATATTCTATCAATCTGTTCTAAGGATGCATGTTAACCATTAGTAGTTGCACAAGGGGCATTCCTACTTACAGACTGTACTTCCACAACAGGTGTTCTTGAGGATGGATCACCGCCACAAACTGGGTCCTCAGCTTCATCATCCTCATTCTCAGTTCCTGTGTAGCCATCATCCTCATTCTCATACTCATGGTCCTCATCACCTCCAACATCATCCCACTGCCCAAAGTGTTCTTGTTCATCGTCGCCTAAATTGCATGGGACAATATTGTCCGTCAATGGAGTCATAAATTGTATAGAAAATGGCGGGTTGACAGTATCTATAGGTGAGTGCATGTGATTTAGTGGGATAGGAGAAGGAACATTTTGTTCTACTTGGCATGGAAATGAAGCCAATGTTTCGGTTTGGGGATATAATGTACCATCACGTGAGTTACTACCACTACCTTGTCTTTCCTTTGGTATAACAGATACATACAAAGGCACTTGAAAGGGATGTGGAAGACCTATAAGGTAAAAACCAAGGCTAGTATCATCAAATATATAAAAGTTCGGCACTTGGTACTCAAATTTGTAGATACATTGTAGAACAATATTTAAAAGATCAGGATTTATTCTAGTCATCCGAAAGATCGCACTTACAAGGTCTCTATATGTTATTCCTTCGTCAACATTTAACCCACCCATAACTCCACCTTCGTATACAGTGCCTATCTAATTCCACTGACCCCCATAGATCACAAAAAGGCGAACCATTTTGTTCTGCATTGCAAATCATAATTGAAAAACAATTAGAGATGAAAAAATATATAAAATAAACTTCAACCTCGGGTGGGAAATGTATTTTCTCGCCCGAGGTGGAGTTCAATACGCAGCCACGTCAGAGGTGATTTTAGTGCCTCGCCCGAGGTTCATCAAAAACGTGATTCTCAATCGAGAATCATATCACCTCGCTCGAGAACGACCCAAAATTTAAAACAAACAGTGCGGGAGGAATGGACAAATGGGTTTAAAACAAAATAATAAACGTTATTGCTAATCCCACTATAACAAAAATAAGCCAAACAAGTACCAAATAAAAACACATCTGTTAAAATGTAGACATCAAGCAAGATTATTGAGCAAAAGGAGAAAGCATAAAAAATAAATAACTACCTCTTCCAAAGTCTTGAAAATTCCAAAGAGAATATTCACAAAGCTTTTCAGATTTTTTAGGATTGTGCAGAGAGAATATTCACGATAAGGACATATGTTTTCTGAGGTTAGTAATGACATGTACTGATTGGTTAGGTACAACTTGATGTGCATTAAATTGGTTTTGTGGTGCATTGAAGCTACCTCGGGTGGGAATGTTTCTACCTCGGGCGAGAATTATGAAAACGGTCATTTGTTACATTTAATGGCATTATGGTCATTTCATCTGCGTCTAACACATAATCAATGCTAAAAGTGGTTTAGTTGGGCACTGTGAGGGGGTGGGTCATAATCGCGCCGTTCGTCTTCTCCTTCTCTGTTTGAAATCGATCCAGTTCCATCGTCTTCTCCATTTATCTTCTCCTTCTCGGTTCGAAATCGCTCTAGGTAAGTTCGATTTCTGTTAGATTTTGTTCTTTTCCATCACTTTGAAAGTTAGGGCTTCAATTTTCAACTCTGTTTAGGAGTTCAATGTTTGATTTTTCCGTCGATTACGTTTTCCGGTATTCGGATGAACGAATACATGATTAATATGACATCAATTTAAGTTTTGTTTCTCGTGTATTCCGTGTTTCGAAAAATAGGAAAACTGATTACTGTTTGTGCCTTCTTTGTTCTTGATTTTTTTTTTGTATTTTTATGTCGATATGGTCTCTGTGTGTGAGGGTGTGAGGTTTATTCAAAATATGTCTGTAGGAGGTTCATTTGAAATATTTGAGGTGGTGTGGTGGGAGGTTGAAGAAGAAGTGTTCTATGTTATTTTTCTCGGGTTCAACCTCGGCCGAGGTTGAGCCCAAGGTATTGAAAGATTCTCAACCTCGATGTTGAGCCTAAAGTTGAGCCTCTTCAATTACCTACTTCGAGGTCAACATCGAGGTAACCTCGAGCTCAGTCTCGCCCGAGAAAAATAACAGAGAGTGCATGTTCGTTGTTTGAACTTTGTTTGTTTGAATCTGAGTGTGCATGTTTGTTTGCATTTACTTATAGGAAATGGAAATGGTACCGAAGGTCCCTCCCGCGATGTATGCCTCGTCCCAAGTGTCTTGTCTATCGCACCTAGCAAACACAGCCCAGGATATTAAAGAGAAACTTACCCCCCGTCAACTTCGTCTTTTTAGGAAGACTGTATGTGGCCATCTCATTGATGTGGATCTAGTATTTAACGGGTTCTAAATACATAGCTTGTTACTTAGGGACGTATTGGTAGAAAATAGTAGTCCGGACACCATTAGTTTCAACTTGTTTGGGAGTAAGGTGTCATTCGGTCGGAGAGAATTTGACCTCATAAGCGGCCTAAAATATTCGAGAGCACATGTTAGGAAAGACACGATTCCTATTAGGCTTAGAACCTTGTACTTCTATGATGACGTAAACCTGACCTTGGCCAATTTGGAGAAGAAGTACAAAAGCTTACGGTTTGATGATGATTGGGACGCGGTGAAGGTCTCAATCGTGTACTTCGTGGAACTAGTACTTCATGGACGGGAGAGAAGTTTGAAGTTTGACAGTAGTTTACTAAGAATAGTAGATGATTGGGAAGTTTGCTGCAACTATGATTGGGGATCCATATCGTTTGAGAAGACAATAAAAAGTCTTCAACGAGCACTGACGAATAAGACGGATGATGGGAGGTTGAGGAAAGCGTATAGTCTGTATGGTTTCCCGTGGGTGTTTCAGGTAAATAAATATCATATAATTGCCATATTTATTTGGACCCACTAATGATTGCTAACATTCTCTATAATTTATACAGGTGTGGGGATATGAGACGATATCTTCCCTGACTGGATGAGTTGCTATAAAAGTTAATGATGACGTGGTACCCCGCATGCTCCGGTGGAGGTGTGTTCGTTCAATAGGATGGCTCATGCTGGAAAGAGACATATTCCAGTCAACAACAGTAAGTGACTAACTTTATCATGCACTTGTTTTCAAACCACACCTCAGTGATATCTTATTTCGTGCAGGCCACAGCAAAGAGCTTGGAACAAACTGAATCAGAGACGATATTTTTTAATAGGACATTCGAACCACCAGCATCCAATGATGTGGAAAATGATGAAGAAGGGCTCCAAAGTCCGCGACCCGCATGCGAGGGCCACGACGATGTGATCGAATGTCCACCGGTCGATGATATTGAAGACAGAGAGGGCAAAAATAAGAAGAAGATCAAGAAGAAGGTGTATAAGCGGTCAGGAAGGTTGGACATGCGTATCGATGCCATGGAAAACAGGTTCAAGGGTGTGGAAGGTGAGTTAAAGTTCATACGGAAGTATTTGCGACGGCTTGCCAGGGTAAGTAGACAAGTTTATTAAATTTTGTATTCCCGTATGTTTTTTAAAATTTGGATGGTGTGATATGTCATTTGATGTATAGGGTCAACTAGTCGATCCTGCTGATATGCGAAGAGCCAAAGTAGGCGGTCATGCTGGTGTAGCAGGCCACATGGACGTCGACATGGCAGAGGTTCACCAGGTCCAAAATGCATCTGATGTCCTGAAAGAACCAGAGGTTCACGAAGTACTGAAGGTCAACATAGGAGATGACGCAGGGGTTCGAAACGTGGAAGAGGTTGAGTCGGACTCGAACCAGTTTCAGACACCTATGCCAGAGGTATCGAATCGTACATCATATACTTCATTTTGTCAATCTGTCGAGGTTCTAACTCGTTTACTTTCAGTCCCAATACGTCGATAGTGCATCGACGATGAACGAGGTTGTACCAGACCAATCACAGCATGTAGACTCGGACGAAGTACGTCTCATATCACAACCATTGCCACGTTCCAAAATTTAGCAACCGCAAAAGGAGAGTACCATGGAAGTTGCGTGCGTTTGTTGAAGTGAAGGTGTACGGAAAACGACATAAGGTCATACAATACAATCCAGTTATGGATATTCCGAAAGAGGAGGATGACAAATTTCAGGTCTTGCTAGATGACCATGACAAACGTTCAACGCGAAAGACCGCATACTTCATCAGGAATAAGGCCTGGTTCCGCGACCTATTGAGGCCAGGTAACTGGTGCACAGCCGAGGTAAGTGGTCATTAACCACACTAAATGTAGTAAATATGTATACATTCATGTTTATAAATTGGGTACTATTCATAGGTCGTCGATGAGCTGTTCATGTTAGTGTGGAAGAAGCTTGAGCAGCAGCCTGACCTATGTTCTCGGAAGTTCACAACTGGCGATCTAGTTCTTGCGGTACGTGTGTTAATGCCTATCCACTAACTTCAAATTGGTCATAGTGCATAGGTTGATGACTCATTGGGTTAAGTTT